CGATGACAGATTTATCGATTTTCTTACCGTTTTTTCCAGCAGAAAGCTAACGAGCTAGCCATCACAGGGGTGTCTTTCGGGTCTTTCTAGCCTTTACAGAAGGTTTTCTATCCAGCCTGGAACTTGTGCTTCCTTTCAGAGGTTTTCAGCAATAAATCCAAACGCTTTATGTCAAACTTTGATAATCTTGAAGCCCATAATTCATAAATATTCGGTCATTTTTGCCGCTAGCTTGATGCTAGCGGACATCCTGGATATCACGTGATGTTTTCACGTGATGGTTTTTGACCAATTACAGGCTGATCCGTTGTAAACATTGGTGTGCGTCATTACGCATGAACCAAGCGCTGATATAGTGTAGAGAGATAGAGAGACTCACGGAGACGCGCGATTCACAGAGAAACACAGCGAAATGGACGTAAATAAAGCGCTGGTCTATTTTGGTGCATTGCAGGATGAAGGATTTTCAGGAGAACAGAGCTTTTTGACAGATGAGGAACTAGATTACCAGGATAGACCCAGCTGAAGTGCCATTTATTTATTTACTGTAAAAAAGTATTATAGTAGTATAAATGTATTATAAAAGAATAAAAAGAACATAATAAATAAAAGAATAAATAAAATAGAAATGCAAAACCTGTGATGTGGCCCTCTGTGTGATTACTGTTTTGAGGCTTGGCACCAGTGAATTTCATGAGGCCCCAAACGCCTGGACTTCTTTTGGAAAAATGTCAATATTTTTTGTTCTGTACAAGTTATAATGTTTATTCCTGTGCTCCAGGACTCCAAAGACATGAACAAACTATTTTCCAGAGGAAAATTGCTTAGCTTTTATTTATTTGTGTGTGATTTCAATAAATAATTGAGTGATTCCATTTCCGATTTATTTTTTCATTTGTCTTTATGGTCCCATAACTTATTTTACATTCAGGTGACATCAATGTAACACAAATATGCTGAAAGTTCAATTTGTTCTGAAAAAAAAGAGGTGTGTCAATTGTCTGTGCACCAAAGGGTTGATATTTTACAAGCTTTTTTAGTAAATGACACCAGACGGAAAATTTATTGTAAAAATACCCTTAGGTCTCAGAGGGTTAAAGTCGAAATGTTTCGAGATTAAAGTCGCAATGTTTCGAGATTAAAGTCGCAATGTTTCGAGATTAAAGTCGCAATGTTTCGAGATTAAAGTCGCAATGTTTCGAGATTAAAGTCGCAATGTTTCGAGATTAAAGTCGAAATGTTTCCAGATAAAAGTCGCAATGTTTCGAGATTAAAGTCGCAATGTTTCGAGATTAAAGTCGAAATGTTTCGAGATTAAAGTCGCAATGTTTCGAGATTAAAGTCGCAATGTTTCGAGATTAAAGTCGCAATGTTTCGAGATTAAAGTCGCAATGTTTCGAGATTAAAGTCGCAATGTTTCGAGATTAAAGTCGCAATGTTTCGAGATTAAAGTTGCAATGTTTCGAGATTAAAGTCGCAATGTTTCGAGATTAAAGTCGCAATGTTTCGAGATTAAAGTCGCAATGTTTCGAGATTAAAGTTGCAATGTTTCGAGATTAAAGTCGAAATGTTTCGAGATTAAAGTCGCAATGTTTCGAGATTAAAGTTGCAATGTTTCGAGATTAAAGTCGCAATGTTTCGAGATTAAAGTCGAAATGTTTCCAGATAAAAGTCGCAATGTTTCGAGATTAAAGTCGCAATGTTTCGAGATTAAAGTCGCAATGTTTCGAGATTAAAGTCGAAATGTTTCGAGATTAAAGTCGCAATGTTTCGAGATTAAAGTCGCAATGTTTCGAGATTAAAGTCGCAATGTTTCGAGATTAAAGTCGCAATGTTTCGAGATTAAAGTCGCAATGTTTCGAGATTAAAGTCGCAATGTTTCGAGATTAAAGTCGCAATGTTTCGAGATTAAAGTCGCAATGTTTCGAGATTAAAGTCGCAATGTTTCGAGATTAAAGTCGAAATGTTTCGAGATTAAAGTCGCAATGTTTCGAGATTAAAGTCGCAATGTTTCGAGATTAAAGTTGCAATGTTTCGAGATTAAAGTCGAAATGTTTCGAGATTAAAGTCGCAATGTTTCGAGATTAAAGTCGCAATGTTTCGAGATTAAAGTCGAAATGTTTCGAGATTAAAGTCGCAATGTTTCGAGATTAAACTCGAAACATTGTGCATTCATAACAGTGCGCGTCCACTGGCTCAGAGCGCTGTGTGTGTGAAGTCGAACTGCCATGGATAAACACAAAATAGTAGCTTTTTACTTTGATCTGGGCTTTCAACAAAATTCTACACACATCACATGTGCTAGTGTCAGTGTTTCTGAGGTGTTTTCGTGATCGTCTCAACACTATCTGGGTCAACAGTAACTGTTCGGTCTCCCCTTCACCGGATACATTTTAAGTGCATCATTCTGTATCCAATCATTTTGCCGGATCCTGTGATTTCCTAAGATTTAATAACCACTTATGGTTGAGGAGAGATTCTCTGATATGATTGTAAAGCACTTTGAGTGTAGGCATACTGTATATGAAAGCGCTACTGTATATAAATGCCCTATTCATTCATTCATTCATTCATTCATAAAGCTGGATTTCTCCATCCAGTCTGAAAAGTGTTTTCCGGGTTGGTTTTCCTATAGGCTAAAGTCTATTCCGACGCAGTATATTTTATAACGTCCAATAATGGTAGCCTGCTGGTAGATTGGCACCTGTTGAATTTCCTTTGAAGAAACAAAACCCACACACACACACACACACAGTGTGAAACTCGCTATGGCCATTATGAATGCCTGTGTGTGCGGCAATGTGAGACAATAATGTCAAGCACACACGAGCAGCTTCTACGGAAGACTGTATTCTCGTCTCTCGAAATGTTTCGACTTTAATCTCGAAATGCTAGATTTATTTATTTTTTTTCAGATTTTTTTTTTTTTTTACAGATTTTTTTGGCTGCGGTTCAGGGCTTCCGTAATAGTGTGATCACAGATATTCCAAAAGTTATTTGTTCATACAAGTATCATTGGACTTTCTGCATTTGCAGGATGCAGTGCATGGATTAGGCTTGCAGCCGCATCGGGCTGTCTGGCACAGGTGATTAACTCCTCACAGGCATCTGTTGAGGAGTAAGCTAATTCCCCTCTGCCTTCCATCCCATGGTTTCAGGGGGTGTGACCAAAAAATTGTCTTTAAAGGAGTAGTTCACTTTAAAAAAAACTTTTGCTGATAATTTACTCACCCCCATGTCATCCAAGATGTCCACGTCTTTCTTTCTTCAGTCAAAAAGAAATTAAGGTTTTTGATGAAAACATTCCAGGATTTTCTCCATATAATGGACTTCAATGGGGTCCAAACGGTTCAAGGTCCAAAAGACAGTTTCAGTGCAGCTTCAAAGGGCTTTAAACGATTCCAGATGATAAATAAGGGTCTTATCAAGCGAAACGATCACCCATTAATAAATAAATAACAAAATTTAAGTTTTATAAGCACAAATGCTCGCCTTGCTCTGTTCTGTGATGAGCGTTCGTGACTCTCCTGTTCGAACTCAAATCGTTTTCCGAGTCATGACTCGAAGGGTCCTAGATAAGACCCTTATTCATCGTCTGGTGTCGTTTAAAGCCCTTTGAAGCTGCACTGAAACTCTCATTTGGACCTTGAACCGTTTGGACCCCATTGAAGTCCATTATATGGAGAAAATCTTGGAATGTTTTCATCAAAAACCTTAATTTATTTTCGACTGAAGAAAGAAAGACATGGACATCTTGGATGACATGGAGGTGAGTAAATTATCAGCAAAAGTTTTTTTTAAAGTGAACTACTCCTTTAATTTTGAATGATTGCAAAACGCGTTGCGGCAGCATGCAGAAAACCCATTCTACCCACATTCACGCAAAAGCGTGGGCACAGCTTCCCGATCTCAGTCAGAGCTCATAGGGCACAGGACGTGTTACTAGAACACCTCGGGTCAATTGGGCGAAATAATTTTTTTAATTATTTTTTTTAAATAATACTTGATTATTTACAGTAGTTCCTGTTTTTACAAATTTGTTAAAGGGATAGTTCACTTTGAAATAAATTTTTGATATGTTTTATCTTACCTCAAGGGCATCCAAGATGTAGGTGTCTTTGTTTCCACAGTATTTTCAATTTTTACATTTTTCAGTCAAACCGTTGTTGTCTATCAGTCATACACTGGAGGCTAAGGGGGTCCACCAAAGAGCAGCACAGAGAAGTCCAAATTAAACATGATTTAATGACTTGTAAATGTAAGTACACATTGATGGCCTAAGACACGAAACGAGCGGTTTGTGTGAGAAAACCAACAGTATTTATATCGTTTTACCTCGTGTAATCACAGTGATCTGAATCAGTTGTTCCGAACTGAACCGAACTGAATCAGTTCAATGTTACGTCGGAAGTGATCGCTTGCGTGTGACGTCACTCAATATTTACACGGAGATTTCATTAGTTTTACCTTTTACTAAACATATTTAGATATCCCGAAATCGTCTTCCATTGCGGTTTCCCGAATACCTAAATGTTTAGCGAAAGGTAAAACTTCTGAAATCTCTGTATAAACAAAGAGTGACGTCGGCGCGCGAGCGATCACTTCCAGACCGAAGCGCCCGTGCCGTCAGATCATTTTGTCATGGCTATGATTACACGAGGTAAAACGACATAAATACTGTTCGTTTTCTCACACAAACCGCTCGTTTCGTGTCTTAGGCCATCAATGTGTACTTACATTTACGAGTCATTAAATCATGTTTAATTTGGACTTCTCTGTGCTGCTCTTTGGTGGACCCCCTTAGCCTCCAGTGTATGACTGATAGACAACAACGGTTTGACCGAAAAATGTCAAAATTGAAAATACTGTGGAAACAAAGACACCTACATCTTGGATGCCCTTGAGGTAAGATAAAACATATCAAAAATTAATTTCAAAGTGAACAATCCCTTTAACCCCTGAAGTGTTCATCAAACCTCATCTCTCTCTCTCTGTTTCAGATGGACGGGCCGATGCGTGTGTTGGTGACGGGTGGCAGTGGGCTGGTGGGGCGAGCGATAGAGCGAGTGGTGAAAGAGGGCGAAGGGAGAGAAGGAGAAGAATGGATATTCCTCACATCCAAAGATGCCAATCTCATGTAAGAAATCCCAAACACTCATTAAACATCACACCAGTTAAACACAGTCATATCATTAGAAATATCACACACACCGCCTTTATCTGAACTGCAACCCTGCTATGAAAAACAATCCAATAGATGTCGCCGTGTGATGTGCATTCAATAAAGAATGTCTGTCTTTATTTCATATAATATTAGCTGGGACTTCAATGCTAAACATGCCAATTATGCCGTGAATTTCTCCGCAAAGGAGAGGGAAGAAAAAGACAAGAGATTGTCCTCCATCTTAACTGCCGGGCAGAATATGTGGTGTCCCACAAAATCGCCAAACACAGCAAACCATTTTCAGATGGTGAGTTTGTAAAAGACTGTCTGGTAGAGGCCATAGACATCATACAGATAGAGGCCGTATTGGCACGGACGAGCCGTATTAAACCGGTCAGTGTAATCTGTATGGCAGGTGATATACAGTGGTGTGAATAAGTTTGGACACCCATGCTAAAGTTGCCTAAAAAGAGGAATAAAAAAATCATCTTTTGGATATTGATCTTAATGCCTTAATTAGAAAAATGAGGAAAAATCCAACCTTTAAGGACACCAATTTTCTTTGTGAATGAATAATGTATCATAAATAAATAAATGTTTTCCTTAAAATACAGGGTGCATAAGTCAGGGCACCCTAGATATGACCAAAATTGGGTTTCACGATATGACTAATTTTATTTCACGGTAACAATATATTTCACAATATAGTTATATAGTTGTCCTAAAAAATAAAAATAAAAAAAAGACAAAAAAAGACAAAAAGGGCTTTGTATAATAAATAAAACCAAATACTTTAGAAATAAAAGTATGTCATCTTGTTTTATTTTTATTTTATTTGGTAAAATTTTTATTTGGTAAACTGTTTTTATATCAAAATATAGTAAACAAAAAACACTCATAAACTTTTAGATGAACTTCCCACAACAGATTGATATTAAAAACAACTCAAAAACAAATAATTTTTCAATCTCATGCATTGCTTTGCTTCATCAATCAGTTTATAATATAATTATAATATATATAATATAATTATAATATTTTTTTACCACATGTGCTTATTATACTGTGTTTTTAACGGAGAAGGGTATTCCTGCACAACCGGAGACTGCACACACTGGTGTTTTAACGGGCTTGTTTTGCTCTTTTTGTTATATCTGGCAACCCGTCAGTTCAGAAGTGACAAGAAGGAGAGCAGCAATATGAAAACCAAACCGCAGCTACTGTTAGTGTTGACTAAGTAGTTTAAATTATACACACCTTATAACAGTGCGTCGAACACCGCGCGCTCTCTCTCAGTGCATGTGCACGCGCGCGTCTTTTACATCAACAAAAAGCGATCGATTAGTTTGAGAGTGAAGTTGTAATCACGGATCGAATCAAAGGAAGATTTTATCAAATGGTTCAGTAGGCAATTGTTTGGAGTTAAAAAATATATAACTCGCGCTGCATATTTAGTAATTTTGCCTCAGAAACAGGATTATACTTTGTTTTAACAAGCAGGATGTTTATTCATGCTGAATGCGATTGTCATGTTTAAAAAGTGACTATACATAAGAGAAGGAAAGATGCGGATAACTATACATTATTTAAGGTTATTTCTCGTAATGATATTCCCCGTTGCGAACGAGCACTCCTCTAAACTGTAGCCTGGGTGCTGCTGCTCTGCTCAAGTTGACGGCTGCATTTCCCCCCGAACATATCACGTTAACAACAATCCTTTAGAAAACGTAATTCCTTTGTGGATCCTCTTGATCTGCTTTCTCCATGTTTCTTTGACAAATCTCAGCATCAGTCTCACGCGCGCTGCACAGGAGTTAACCACGCCCCCTTATTTGCATTTCGCGGTATACACGGAATAAAAAAAAAATCTGTTACGACTAACGTTTTCTATCGCGGTAACGATATATATCGCCATATCGCCCAGCCCTAACGTCCTTCCTACATGAATCGGCAAAAGTGTAACTTATCGGCTGGCTCTGACGATCGCTAAGAAGATGGGACGTAGGGTTGGGTATCGTTTGAATTTGAACGATTCTGATTCCGATTCCTTGTTTCGATTTCGGTTCCTAACGATTCTCGATTCCGATTCTTTTAAGAGGCAGGGTCAAAAAAGTTTAGCTAACCTTGCTAACCAACTGTCTTTCTGAAGGAAATAATCCTGTCACAAATACTCCTTCTGTCACAAATTTTGCATTTTGCCGAGATTTCGTTATTTTTAGAAAAGTGAAGCCACACTTTGGACCGCTGACGTAAGCTACTCATGTTCGACTCGCGCGGTTACGCCAACACTTCCGGTAGACGCTTCTTCGTTGGTGTTGTTCAGCGGTTTCTTCTTCCGCTCGGTGGACTGTGAATATCGAAACTAGGAATCGAAATTTTAACTTTTGAACGATTCCGGGAAAAACGAAAAGTTAGTCCCGATTCCAATCGATACTCGATTCTCGATACCCAACCCTAGACGTAAGGTCGTTGTGGTTTCTCCTTTGGTCGCACTCATGGAGGACCAAGTAAAATAAGCAACATTTGTTATTTTACTTCTAAAATAAGTTCTGTAGTGACAACTGTATGCAAAGTATTGCTCTGATTGGTTGTAGGTCTACCGACTATCCAATTGAGTGCAGAGTTTTTTTTTTCCTGGTTCGGTTAAGACACGCCTCTTAATCAAAGCCCTATGGAGCGGTATCAGACAGTATGACGAAGTCAGGCTATCCCTCTGGTGGTATATAGCCTCAATTAAATTGGATAATTCCAAGCCAGATTGCCTGAAGTCTGTATATCTGTATGTTAAGATATTTGCACAAACATGTATTTGTAGTTTTGTTGATAGTATTCCATCTTGAATAGCTACAGCTGGTATGAATGACAGTTGAACAATATGCAGGGTAGTGTAGTGTAGGAAACGAAAGTAAATCCAGTTAGTAGCCGTCAATAACTTTAATTCATTTGTACCATTATGTTTAATTGCAATTGTCCAAAGTGTGGCCCTCCCTTTACTTTGCCAAAGTAACTGTGGCCCTCGGACTAAAACTGTTGTGCTAATGTATAAATTCGTTTGTTTCTCTGGATTTTAGAAAGATTAATTTAATTGCTCATTGTCTATTTGTATTGCATGCTAACTGTATTTACATGTGGTGTTTCAGGAGCGCTGAGGAGACGAGATCAGTCTTCCAGAAGCATCGTCCGACACACGTCATTCATTTGCCGCCATGGTGGGCGGGCTCTACAAAAACATGAGACAGAACCTG